CAGATAATTTATAGATGAAAGAATCGGTTATTAACGATAAGATTCTCTTCATATTGTAAATTATAAAGAAATCTTAATCTTACAGGTTATTTATTGTGTCTCTTAATTGCGATGGATTTTATAAAGGAAGATATCTATGCGATGGCACAAAATTCCGCTCAAACAAACATTTCTTCACGAATTAATCCTCGAGTTGAAGATGATGAAGATTTTGTGCCCTACCAGGGTGAACGCTTTACTGTATTCGATTGGATGCTATTTAGGGTACTTTTCATAGAATGCTCCTTACATCAGTAATGATTACGTCTTATACATCTGATTTTATATATTTAAAAATTAATTATTATCTAATCGAATTAATCCTTAATGGAATTCTAAAATCATCTGTTTTACCGACTCACTTAAAACTTACACACATATCACGTATCATCGACATATATTATATTACATCAATATCGCACGCACGTGTATACATAAATTTTTATAAAATGATATTAGGATTAAATATCTAAAGTTCAATTGTATTAATGTTTCTTGACTTTAACCTTTACTTTTGACTTTAAATGAAACTTAAAACTCTATTTAGAGAGAAAGAGAGAGAGAGAGAGAGAGAGAGAGAGAGAGAGAGAGAGAGATCAAGTTTTAAATTTCGCTTAAATTAAGTTAAAGTAATGTTGGTGTAAATGGGCTTAAAAGTTTAATTCAAAGAACTCCACGTTATTGTTATATGTAATCTAGTTTAGTCTATAGTTGTAGCCTTCAATTTTGTAAGTACAGATTGCGAAGTTTTTATATCAAGTAATGTATAATACTTGTCACAACTTAACAATTCAATAAGCCATATTAAATTGAAAAATGGTAAAGATCTCTATTTTAAAATTTCTTTCGTTTTTGACATAAATTTCATATTAATACAGACTACTATTAATGTATATATTAATTCTGGAAAAAATTCAAATCTGTAATAGTAATGTGTGTGTGTGTGTGTGTGTGTGTGTGTGTGTGTGTGTGTGTGTGTGTGTGTGTGTGTGATATTATTCATGAAAATTGTGTGTTTAATCAGTAAAATAGATAATGCATAAGAATCAGACTAATCTTTAGGATTCTTTAAAAGGATCCTAAAGATTAGTCTGATTAAGCACTTACATACAGACAATTTACATGTTATTGATACATCACATACTACATCAATATCTCATGCACATACACATACATAAATTTTCATATAACAATAATTAAACGTCTTTTAATTAAACGTCTAAGAATTTTAAGAATTCCACATTGTTTCTTCGTGCAAACTAATCTATAGATTACTATTTCGTAAGTACAGATTGCACAACTTTTATATGAAGCAAATCACGACAACTCTGAAACGCTATATTGAACTAAAAAATGAGAAAGAAGATTTCAATTTCAAAATTTTTATCGTTCTCAATACACATAAGCTCACATAAGCTCCACCTCAGACATGTATTAATATATATTAATATGTTTATATATATTAATATATTTTAATCCTGGAAAAGGATTTTCGAATCAATAAAAGAGAAAAGATAATTGTTATACAAAAATTATATGGTTTAGTCAGTAATACAGACGACTTTAGGATCTCCTTAATTTGTCTTTTCAATATGGTATACCTAATTTTCTTTTTCCGTTGTTTTTTTTTATCGTTTATAACTATTTTATTAATAAAGATACATGCTCAATATCGTTATGTTATTCCTTAATATTTAACTTTTTGATTGAAAAAAAATTATTTATTATATATTCATTTGTATGAAAATTATAAACAATCGAATTTGGCTTGGATATATGCCTACCATACCTAAATGTGCTTTAAATGTTAAATATGTAAGACATGTAAAATAGATCTTTCAGATGTGTAAGTTTTTTAGAACCGCTTCTAAATGCTAATTTTATGTAACTAAATTTATTAATTAAACTATTAATGTCGATGCTCTAATTTTATTGTTTTTTTAGAGTCTAAGCAAGACAAATAGAGGAAATATATTATTGTCGCCAATATCCATAAAATTAGCATTAGTGCTCCTTTATGAGGGAGCTCAAGATCAAACCGCATATGAACTTGCCGGAGCCATGCAACTTCCCGTCAGTTCGCCGGCCATTCGAGAGAAGTTTAATAATATTGTGAAATCTTTGCAGGTAAATCATATATTAATGAACAAATCAAAATTAGTATTTTTTTTTTAATTATAATATTTTTGTGTATATAATTCATAAATTTATAAAGAAATATTTATTTACAGGCCCCGTCTTCTGCGTACATTTTAAATCTAGGATCACGAATTTATATCGATGATAATATATTGACCAGACAACGTTACGCAGCGACGATAAAAACATTTTATAATACTGATGTGATCAACGCTAATTTGTCTGACACGCACGCAATTGCGATTAAAGTTAATTCTTGGGTCAATAATATTACGAATGGACATATTGAAAAGATGATAGATGATGGTAAGTTTCCTTAGAATTATCTTGATTGATATATTTTCGAATTTAATGTTTTCAAGCTCGTTGATACAGTCCATAAAATATAAGAAAATATAAGTATTCAATTGAATTAAAAAAAATTTTCGGTTTAATTTTCTAATGCAAACATATATATAATAATAATAATAATAATAATACAAACATATGTAATCTTAATATCTGAAATCTCATAAAATAATATCTTACATCTCTTGACAAAAATAGAGGACTTTAATTGTTATAAGTTTTAATTATTAAATTTAAACAATGTTTATTTATTTTTTGTTGCAGAAAAAGGTCTAGAGGATTCAGTGATGCTGATTGTAAATGGATTATTTTTCAAAGGAGCTTGGCGCCGCAAATACTTCGCTCCCGAGAATAGTCGAGTTTCCAAATTTTACATAAATGCTAATGAGAGCATAAACGTACCGTATATGCATACTGTAAGTCGATTTTATTATGCCGAATCATCCAGGCTCGATGCAAAGATTCTGCGAATTCCATACGACGTACGTAATATCCTCAGATTTTACTACTTGAATAAAATATTTCCAATCACATTATTGCTACGCAGAAATTATAAATGTAAAATCTTTCAGGGTTCAAAATTTGCTATGTATATTATACTACCGCACACGCTAACAGGTATGGATCACATTGTCAATGAGATTAATTCGTTTACATTGGCGAGAGATGTATGGGCCATGCAGGAATTGCCTCTTGATGTTTGGATTCCAAAGTTCAAGTTTGAATTTACGAGCCATTTGGAAAATACTTTGCGTGAAGTAATTTTCATACATTTTTATAAACACTGAATAAAGAGTTTTACAAAAACTATTTATTACAAAAAAATTACTTATGCGATAAATTTAATAAGAGCTTAATGAATGTAGCGAAATTATAACTAAAAAGTCAGAATTATGGTTTCTACTACATGTAAAATTTGTATCTTTTTAATGATTTTTTTCAAAATGAATTTTTAATTCAAATTAAAAATAATTATCGTATTGATGTGGATGTAATATGTTTATTTTTTTTTTATAATAGCTTGGTATCCGCGATATCTTCGACGATACTGCGCTGTTGACGGGAATAGCAAAAACGAGACGGGTTTCCAGACGTTTGCGGGTATCCGATGTAGTACATAAGACTGGAATAGACATGAATGAAAATGGAACGACTGCTTACGCTGCAACAGGTATGTATATGCATCTTAATAAATTACATATATAAATACATATAATTACATATATAAATTACATATATAAATATAAATAATTAATTAAATGCGTAAGGAAAGATGTGAAGTAGGTAGGAGAAATATGTATACATATAATGTGTGTACAGATAGGGACAGCTAGGAATGTTTTAATATGCCTTTTCATCCCTTTTCATTCCTTCTGATACCTTCTTTTCTCTTTTTTTCATATGTTCTCCGATACATGTGCAATTTCATTAAGTAATTCTTGTCCCCGTTTGTACGTACAGTGCAATTTCGTAGTTTTTAAGTATTTTAAATATTTAATATTCTCAAATATTTTTAAATATTTTTTTTAATTACTTAATTATGTTTTTGGTCTTTTGTTTTACTATAAATAATTACATTAGTAATTTATTTAATAAAAGAAATATTATCTTATATATATAATATAATAATTTCTTTATTATATTTTTAATGTAGATTGTTCAAGTAGAGTAGAGAGAAAATGTTATTAAAAAATTTTATTTTATTTTTCTGTGTTTCTCTTTTTTCTATGATTTTTGCGTTTACATTTCTTCTTCTTAATATAGAAATACAGATTGGAAATAAAATAGAAGAAGGAACGTTTCATGCTAATCGTCCGTTCGTGTTTTACATTGAGGATGAGACCACCGGCACTATCCTTTATATAGGCAAAATTCAGAATCCTTTGAATACATCTGGGACTACTGGGAAAGTGCAACAGGAATTTCCATCGCGATTTAACCCGGATACAGCCATCGTAACTCCTAATTCCGGTAAACTACCGTAATGCCATTTAGTTATTAAGAAAATAATATCTCTGCGCTGTAATGGTAATGGGTAGAATATTACTTTGGTGCAATTCACTCCGAGATTAATACATTGATCTTTTAACTATATTAAATAAGATAGAAAAATTAAGAATACTACATACTACTGTATATTCTTCTTCTAACATTAATGCGGTTTAAGTTACGCAGGATATTTTTCTCCAAATTCCGAGATTATGTATCTTAAAACACATAAAAAAAGATAAATGGGATTAGTTTTTTTTTAGATAGAAGATTCTTTTCTATATATATTTCTATATACTTTTCTTTCTGTATTAATAGTAGTTGAAGAGAAAGCTCGGAGCTCGAAATTTGAGATAAAATACCCTGTACACATAGAATGTATTTTAAATTTAGGAGAAGGAAATGTTGGTTAGAATATAATTAACGTATACCATTAACATGCATGCTGCTCTATATTAGTATTATAATGGATGACAGCATTTTAATAGATGTATTAAAATCCTAATGCAAATGATTTTTGGTTTAACTACGTATTCTATTTTTTTTTTTATTTATATATTGAATTATTTACACAGACAATTATTTTTATTCGATTTTTGATGAAATAAGAACAAGAAAAAAATTTTTTTTTAGAATACATTACATTTGTAATACTTTGAATATAATATCGTTATAAAAAGTCTTATTGCAATATTAAACATGCGATGTTTTAAATAAATTGTTATGGAAAGTTTATTATAATCTTTTATTATTATATGCAAAAAATTGTATCCAGTACTAATGTTAAATTTGCATAAAAGAGAATGTGAAGTTTTAGCTGTTTTTCAAAATGAAAAAGTTCCGAGATATGTAAATTATATATCGTATACTAAAAAGCTATTTAAGCGGGGTATCGCTTATCTTGAAGACTACATCGGAAATATAGGAGAAATTGCAAACGCAACCAAGTGTTCCTCTTCAATTTAAAAAATTTTGGATATTATAATATCCAATATAAAAATAATATAGACAAAAATAAGAGTCACAATTTTTTTATATTGTGTTCAATTGCGTTAAAAGGGCAAAGCTTTTCTTTAAAAAAAAATTAGTTTCTTTTTTCTTGAATGAATGTCATAAAAAAAATGGCTTAAAAATAGAATGGTTATTATTAAAGTACTTTATAACAAAAATAAATACTTTTTAATTTTTTAAATAAACGTAATAAATTAAAAAAATTTTTTTTTAAATTATATTATATTTTTTTAAATTATATTATTGTAAAATATTCTTGAAACCATTTTTTTTTAATATTTATTCAAAACGTTCTTTATCTTTAGATGATATTTACTTACAAAGAAAGAAACTGATTTACCTCTTTAATATGCAAGTGAATACTTACGAAAAAAATATAGCGTGTCTTTTATTTTTTTAACGTATTCAAATTTATTAATTGGAAGGGGATACTTGATTATGTTCCTTTATAAAAATTTTAAAGGTAATTTCTCTCATATTTCCGATGTTTCCCCAAGATAAGCAATACATCACTCGACTTAAGTAGCTTTTTAATCTCTAGAAATGACTTCATCATTAAAAACTGTTCACGGCTTTTACTAAAAAATGAGTAAATGAAAAATTCATCAATATTTACACATACATTGTATAGTCTTTCTGATGAGTAAAGTACTATATATTTATGCATTTTAATGTTCAACGCTTTACATTTTCATCTTTAGTTCTTAAACATAATGTGTATAGATCCAGAATTTATTTCAAATTTAATTTTAAAGTGAATGTTGTAAATTTTCAATGTTCGTCCCTAAAGAATTTAATTTGTATTGTATAATTTGTATAACATCTCTCTTTTTCATTTTGGTAAATAAAGTCAAAACTTCCTTCTTTATTAATTCATTTATATTCGACATTTGATAGCAAATATCAAATAAAATAACATTAGATAAACATAGATAGCGTTAACTTTAGCAAATATTAATACATAATATTAATATATAATATTAATATATAATAATA